GTGCACGCGCTTCCGTGCGGTGTGGAGAGAAATTTCTCTTCGAGGAGGGGAGGCGCGCGCTCTCGTTCATTCTGGGGGAGGAGCGTTGTTCGCTCCCCCTTCTCTGCGTGGCCTCAATTCAGCCTAATTCGTTTATTAACCGCCATCAAGTGGGGTAGAGGAAAGCTTTGGGTCCATGAGAAGATGTTTTTCTCTCCCCCCCATTACCTACCCACAGCAAAGTATCTGCTCATGGACCCAGAGCGTGCCTCTGCCTCACTGCTGGGGGGGTGTCGTTATATTCGTTGCCCTGGAAGGGAACGTTCCCCGTTTTGCCTCAAGAAAGTGAACGCACGTTGCTCGTTTGTCAGTGGGTGCGCAGCAACTTCCTCTGGTCCTTACGTAGGAAAGGCTCTTGCCCAGCGGGCTTGCTTGTTCCTCTTTGTGAGGTACTTTGGGCTCTCATGAGACCTTTTGGAACTGCCACGGCTTCAGCTTCTATCCTTTTCTGAGAGGAGCTTGTGGCAAAAGTGGAAGGCAGGAGGAGAATGGGGCTGCTCTCAGTCCCAACCTTCCCATTTATTATAGTGGGTGTGGGGTTTTTTGGGCTGTTTGGCTGTTCTCTGGAGGTTTTTCTTCTGAATGTTTCACCAGGCTCTGGTTCACAGACATAATTATAGCTCCTGCCCTCTGAAGATGCCGATTACAGAGCCTGGTGAAAAGTTAGGAAGAAAAACCTCCAGAGCACAGCCAAACAGCCTGAAAAACCCACAACCACCATCATATCCTGGCCTTGAAAGCCTTCGAGCACACTTCCCATTTCCCTTTGGTTATCTGGAAATTGAGTCATGGCAACTGGACTTCTTTCTTACTTGGTTGAAAAGTTTCCCTACTCATCCAAGTAGCTTCTTCAGTCTGAGGAGAGTTGGTAGGAAATTCCTGATACAATACCAGGGGCTGCTGATTATTGAGCTTTTCCCAGAAGAAAATTGAGGTAGGAAGCTGTAACTGCCACACTATTCTACATATTTCCCCAGGAAGTCAATAGACTTGCGACATCTGTCCTGCAGCTTCTTAAGTCCCTGCAAATAAAATTCTTCTGACTGCTGGTGTAGCCACTCATTTGCGGCATTAGTTGCCTCCAGAACACTCCCAAATCGTTGTCCCTTTAGGTGTTTTTTGAGTTTGAGGAACAGTTAATAGAGCCAGGTCGGGAGAATAGGATGGATGGGGCATCACCTGAAAGCCTAAGGATGTCAGTTTTGCCATTGTTTCACCTGCACTGTGATGAGATGTTGTCATGCAACAGGATGACACCTTTGGAGAGCTTTCCTCGACGTTTTTCCTTGATGTTTTGCCTCAACTTCGTCAATAAAGCGCACTAATATTTTGCATTGATGGTTGAACCCTGTTGGAGGTAGTCCACTAGCAGAACTCCCTTCTTATCCCAAGAAAATGTTGCCATTTGCTTCTGCACCGACTTGAACTCAGAACTTCTTTGGCCTGGGGAAACCATTGTGCCTCCTTACCCTAGACTGTTCCTTTGTCTCAGGATCATAACAGTAGATCCATGTCTCATCACCAGTTACCAGTTTGCCCAGAAAATCTGACTCATTTCTTGCAAAATGTTCCA